CGGGCATTTAGATTTACCCTTGTCCGTCCGTCCGTCCTTCCGTCCGTCCTTCCGTCCGTCCGTTCACTTTTGTGTTGCATGTAACTCAAAAAGTATTAGACCTAGAGTCATGAAACTTTACAGGAATGTTGATCAGCATGTGTAGTTGTGCACCTGGGTATTTTCGTGTGGATATTTTTATTATTTTCAGAGTTATTGCCCTTGACTTAGTAAAATTTTGCAATTTTCAACTTGTGTCGCACGTAACTCAAAAAGTATTTGACCTAGAGTCATGAAACTTTACAGGAATGTTGATCAGCATGTGTAGTTGTGCACCTGGGTATTTTCGTGTGGATATTTTTAGTATTTTCAGAGTTATTGCCCTTGACTTAGTAAAATTTTGCAATTTTCAACTTGTGTCGCACTTAACTCAAAAAGTATTTGACCTAGTCATGAAACTTTACAGGAATGTTGATCAGCATGTGTAGTTGTGCACCTGGGTATTTTCGTGTGGATATTTTTAGTATTTTCAGAGTTATTGCCCTTGACTTAGTAAAATTTTGCAATTTTCAACTTGTGTCGCATGTAACTAAAAAAGTATTTGACCTAGAGTCATGAAAATTTACAGGAATGTTGATCAGCATGTGTTGTTGTGCACCTGGGTGTTTTCGTCTGGATATTTTTAGTATTTTCAGAGTTATTGCCCTTGACTTAGTAAAATTTTGAAATTTTCAACATGTGTCACACGTAACTCAAAAAGTATTTGACCTAGAGTCATGTAACTTTACAGGAATATTGATCAGCATGTGCAGTTGTGCACCATGTATTTTCGTCTGGATTTATTTAGTATTTTTAGAGTTTTTGCCCTTCACTTAGAAAATTTTTGCAATTTTCAACTTGTGTCTCAAGTTACTCAAAATGGATTTGACATAGTCATTAAACCTTATGGGCAGGTTGCTCAGCATATTTAGATTTGCACCTGGGGTTTCGCTTGTGGATTTATCCAGTATTTGTAGAGTTATTGCCCTTCACTTAGAAAACTTTTGCAATTTTCAACTTGTGTCGCAAGTTACTCAAAATGGATTTGACATAGTCATTAAACCTTATGGGCAGGTTGCTCAGCATATTTAGATTTGCACCTGGGGTTTCGCTTGTGGATTTATCCAGTATTTGTAGAGTTATTTCCCTTGACTTAGTAAAAAGATTGACAGAACAGTGGCGCGGTGGGGGCACCCGTGTCCTATGGACACATTTCTAGTTATTGCTCTCAAGTGATCCGTAAAGATTTTTATCTTTTTCTTGGCATGAACAAATAAAGTGACGATTTTTAAAACTTTCAAAGATTAATGTATGGTAAATTGTTTAGACATCTTTAATTATTTGTGCGTATCTTTTACAATGAGTCATAAAAACAGAGACTATGTTTGCATTATTACTATATGGCTAACGCTTGGTGAAGCTCAATGTGGTGTTATTTGACAGAATAAGAATAAGACAATTTCCGATATTCTTTGATAAACACTTTCGATGTTTATTATTATTTATAAAGCTATCCAAATCCTCTCATAATCCCGACGGATTTCTAAAATTATCTCGTGTCATAATTTTCCTATATTGGAAATCCCTCGTTGGAGATTCGCTGTTGTTTTTGTTTTTCTCTTTTAGTAAATTCTGCTATTTTAGAGACAAGTCAAAGACTTGTTATATTGATCTGTGTTGGCTAGAAGCTTTCAATTGCCTGTCATTCATGATCTGTGTCATAGTGCAGCTTGTTGCAGGTTTTATTTAAGTGATAATTACACACAACTGTTGATATAATTTCAGGAGTCTACAAAATATGGAATTTTATCATTTTATGTAAGTGTGTTATGTAGATTAGTTGAATAATGTAGATTTTGATGTGCATTATAAAGAAGGATATCATATCCAATAAATTTGTTCTGTTTTTAAGATACTTTGATGTTATTAATAAATATCCTTTAAATTTCTGTTGTCAGTCGTACATTCGATAACCAGAAAGTAAACTTATAACAAACATGGTTATAGCAAAATTCCGGTCATAGGGAACTAATATACTTGGCACGGATGTTCCAGCAGCCGACTTTGGACTCGGGCGGCATGGGTAACACAAGTTGCCGCCAGCAGCTTAAAGGATTGAGATTGAGCATTTATGTACAGGAGTTCATTGAACCACAGCAGTTCACTGAACTTTAAAAAAATAATTTCTGAACCGCAACATTTCAATCAGAAAAAAACGGCATTTGTATAATTACACACAGATAAAAGGGTGTTAAAGGTGTGCTTGTAATGTAACAATTCTTGTATATTTTCAGAAATTAGTGAGTTTACAAAATTAAACAAACGTGATTATTTTCCACTTTCAAACAAGCTTTTATTGCACTTAAATCGAAAGAAACAATTAGTATTTTTCCTGAACCACTATGTTGAGTAAAGTTTTGTTTGTCTTATAATTATAAGTACATTATGTATCTAGACACTGAACGATGTTTTGCACCCAGTGCTGGCATAACAGTCATCTTAATTAAGAGCTACCCTCCTTTTCATGTTGTGGTACTCTACATTCTAGGACAGCTGTACAGTGATCTATTTTTTGGCTCAAAATTTTTAAACAAATTATTCTTTGAAAATTAAACATTGATTTTCGGAGATATCACCATGTAATGTAGTTCACCATTATATTGTTATTGCCACCCCTCAATCAATGCTACACTTTCATTATTTTTAGGGTTGATGAGATCTTAAAACAAAAGACATCCATTGGTCAGTTTAGAAACTATGAAAATCTTTTATTTTGGATGAAATGTGAAAATGTTGGGGCATCCGTGGCATCTTCCTCCACCAGTTAAGCTGGAAAATGGCCATGATAATGAGCTAGTCTGTGTTTGTGCCACCTTAAACCCAAATTAAAAAAATGAAAATTAGACAAACACTATGTACCAATGTTAATGGTTCAGGAATATGAGTACTCCAGGGGCTCACTTTATATTTATACAGTGATAATTATGTTTTTTTTTCAATATAAAAAATCTATAATTGTGACCAGTCAAGCATTGATTTTTGTAGTAAATTAAGTTTATCTTATGTCTTTACATTTCAAGCTGCTGCAACAGTTGGTAGAAAAGCAGATGTTTGACTTGTTGCATATAGTTTAATAATAATTATTTAAAGAACAAGGTATTGACAAGTTTTGCTTTTTTTACCCTGAAAATTAGGCCAGATCGAGTACAATATGCATTTGATATAGATATTTTGGACTCTGAAAATAAAAACGAGCATGATTATGTGGGGTATATTTTAATTGCATTTGATATTTTTAACCTGAAAATTAAGACCATGCTTTATCATCACTCAGGGTACAATATGCATTTGATATAGATGTTTTGGACTCGGGGGGAAAAGGAAAGGAGACTATAGATCTGATAATGATATCTATTGAACAAATATATGGTTTAAATGCTGAAAGTTCATTGGCTAATGTTTTATAAGGTGTGAAATATTAATTTATAAGTATTTGTATCCCTTTCAACAATAGTCATATGTCTTTTTGTACCTTTCCTTATAAATTCCTTGATTTTATTTTGTTAGTTTGAAACAGGATTTCAGTTATATTTAAAATAAGTAGACAGTGATGAATATAAAAATGTATTTTGTGTCTGATTTAAATAAGTAATTATTTCTAAAGTACGTCTTGCTCTTCAACCGTTTAGTGAATTGCATTAACTATGTTTTAATTTCAACTTTAATACAAGTACCCAGTAGAGGTACTTTTTATTTTTTGGTAACTATCGGGGGTTACACTATCCTTTTTCTGATCATATTTTAATTTAATTTTGTTGTCATATTTTATTGCCATATTACCACAGCCTGTCCCTATTGAATCATATCAGATCCTTTGTCCTTCATGTTTCTGTTCAGGGACAAGCTAGCGGGGTGTCTTCATCATTGTTATAAACTAATTTTTACACCGCGTCTAAAGTAATTTCTGCCCTTTTAAATATAATCACAGTACTTTTTATGATCGTGTCTTGGTTTTAATTTCTAAACAATCATGATAAAATATCGGTAATAAATCGTGCATGTAACCTAATTTTTTATACATAAACAGACGACAGATGAACGCTGAAAATCTGTCCCACGTGCCCCTCATTATTCTAAACATGTATAAGTCCCTTTCTATTGATCACGGAGATTTTATACATTTAATTCTCATTGATGGGGGGCAACATCTTGCGTCCTATTTTACCTTATACATTAGCTTCCCTTTTATTCATAGCTTTTATTTATTTCCGCTCATAACTAACGGTTTTTGTGACTTTCGACGGATGTGCGTTATTTTTCTCAGTGTTCAATATGACATTAAAGGGTAATATTTGAAAATGACAATATTTTAAATAATTTATAAAACGTTATAATTGTGTCTGGATATCTGGATAAAGATTTTGTTTGATAATTGGATATAAAAGTGATTTTTTTTTCTAATTCATGGATAAGTGCTAAAACAAATTTGGATTTAATTAATATTATAAATCATTTGCCATATTTAGGTAAAAAACCAAATCAACATTTTAAAGTGTATTAAGGTATAATTGGATTTTAAGTAACATTTTGTATTAATGATATAATTTTTAATAGACAGATAAATTCCGAATATGTACATCTTGTTCTTTGAGTGTAATAAATTCAGTTATACATATACATGTCTATGTTGCTGAAATATATGAGGTTACATTGTTCGGGCTTGAAAGGTTTGTATATCATAAAGATTTGAGATATTACAGTGTTATAATACCATATATACTATGTTTCTTTGCTCATGGAACTGAGGTTCACAGACCTTTCAATCTTCCCTCTGATTTGTGAGCAGATTAGGTGGATTATTTAAACATGTAATTTGAAGATTTTAATTTACAGTCAATAATTTAATTAGATAATTGATTTAAAATCAATTATTCATGTGAAACTCTCTAGAACTAATAGAATATCAATCATTTGTTTTTCAGAACAACATGGATTAGATGTGTGGGTATTGGGATGATATAGAATCAGGAGAAAGGTATGTACTTATTTTGTTAGGTAAATGGATCATCATTACTTCTGTATAAGCTCTTAACCTTTTCCACCTTAAATATGTTACACAGGCATGTCCATCTTTCAATCTGAATAAAACCATTCATCATTGTTAGGAAAATTTTCAAAATATATAATGACTAAATAGCAAACAGTGCAGACCATGATCAGACAGCGAGGACATATTTGCAGATCTTGGCCTGCACTGGTCCCATGGGTAGAAAATTATAGCCCATAACTGGCTAAGGGTTAAAAAAGGTACCAATGATTTGTCAGAAATATTTAGTGTGTTCAGTGGGCCTATATTGTCACATGTGAATTATAGACCTATCTAGGCAAACATTTTGTTAAAACTCACTAGGGTTAAAAAGTTTAGTGAACATAACTTGCAAAAGGAAAACACTAAATGTATAATCGGTTCCTTATAAAGGGACCATATGTTTCCTGGCCTTACAATGACAGTATTACCAGTTGTTACCAGTTGTTACCACCAGCTGATCTTTGGACAGATAATGCTCAAGTCTAAATCATTATCAGATTGAAAACACAGCTTCCTTTTTTTGTCAAAATATGAAAAAAATTGCTATTGATTTTAAGATGAATGAAAATCATCAAACATTGATTTATAAATATTATTTTAATTCTTGATATATAGAAAATACATGGTTGATGTCGGGATGGAGAAGGTTTATCTGGTGAGCGAGAAAGTGTATCTTTGAGAAAGATTCACTTTCGCAGCGAATATGATATGATTTCTACACATGTCAACAATGTAGACAAAGGTCAGCTTGCAGATATCTGCTGCCGATCATGGACTGCACTGTTTGCTAAATCAGTCAGAATATCCTTCTGTAATTTCTCCTTAAAATGTTGAATGGTTTTGTCCAGACTGAAAGATATAAAGGGTGGTTATGGCGATATTAGTCATTGTCACTTTTGGTTACTTTTGGGCTTTTTTCATAGTTGAACTATGCTTGTACACCTGGATTAGCTGGGAAAACCCAAATTATTGTTAACTCTAGAGTAAATCTATGAAGATACTCCGGAACTCCTGAACAGTTATAACTTGATGATAAATATATTGATAATAAGCATAACCATAACATCTTCTTTTGAGCTTTACAGTTTTGGAATAGAAAATCCAACCAACCAAACAAACAACCAATAAAGTGATTTTAATCTTTGGATTTTAATAGGAGAGACAGCCGTTTAGTAAAGGTTTAGCTGAATATAGTATAAAATCTACCTGTAAAACAACATATTAAGCAATACATTAACAGAATTGTCTCGTATAAATCGTGATTGTATCTTATAACATTGCTGATATTTTTTTGCAAGAAATTGCGTGTCATGCCAAAAAACAAATTAAACATGATTGGAAATTTTTTTTAAATGGATTGTAATGTTGGAATCGGTTGTCGAATGTTCATTAACAAGCCTGTTTGTTTGGTATATTGAAAACATTTATTGGAGAATTTGCTTCTGTTGAAAACTGAAATTTGATCAGTACAATTATTGTACGGGTTCAATTTGTTGCATTTCACTGTGCACGAGAGATTTGATTTTTTCTAAATTAGATTTCAGAACTGTTTCCCTACAGCGGAAGCTGTTTTGAAATTGGATCATACTTGATTGCTGCTATGCTCATAAAACTTTTATAATTGATTACGCGTCTTTCATCTATCACATGATTTATCTGAGATAATGCACTCATTTAATAATTCATGTACTTTGGTCCACGGTCAGTCCCCGATTATCTCCTTATATGGTAGTAGAATGAAATAGACAGGTGAATGTTAACTATGACAGTACACAACTCTGAAATAACATAATCAGCATAGAAACTAGGAGTGAGTTCAATATTCTTGGTGACATCTTCAGACAGACAGATTTCTGAGATTGATAATCCAAATCCAGCTCACAACTCAGAATTTTGAGACATGTGACATGTGACATATTGTGTTGGTGCACCAATAAAACCAAACAAACAACTCAGAAAGTATAACAAATAATAAAGTAAATGTTTGTATCACCACCCATTATAATGATAGATAGTATTCTGACATGCAGGCACTCTACTGTTGACTGCTTACTTTGTATTTAACTGATATTGAAATCCCTTAAAATTTACATAAATTTCATTGAAAATTATCAGCACTATCTTTCCCTTTTCTTAACATTATGTTTGACGATATATGTTGTTGTGTTTTAAGTGTTTTTAGCTTGACTATTGGAAGACTCACCAAGCATCAGCATCACACTTAGGTTAAGTTTCTGTGTGCAAGTTAGTATCTCCAGAAATTCTGAAGGGAAAAGATTGACATTTCACACTTTTACTTGAAAGTATATTAGGCATTTAATTCACTGTCCAGGACTCTTAACTCATATTTTGACAGGGTTATGGCCCCTTTTGAAGTTAAAGAAACGCCTCATTGACCAGGCTCTTGCTTTAATATTAGGTGCTGAGAATAGTTGAGCATGTTTTTTTTTACTGACTAAGGCCTTGTTGTGCTTTAAAATTGATTTATTACTTTTGTAGCCAAAAAAACAACACCTTTTGAAATCATTGAGTATGGTGATGTAAATCTAAAAGATATTGTCAGAAAAATGTTGATTTGATACATAAATGATCATATATTTATTGTAAAAATGAGATAATGATCATTCCTATCAGATGATGTAGAATCTGCTATTGCTTTTAGTATTATGTTATAAATTAGTTGTTTCATATGTTATCTACATACATCTTGCATGATGTATAACTATATATTGCATGATGTATAACTATATATTGCATGATGTATAACTATATATTACATGATGTATAACTATAATATTGCATGATGTATAACTATATATTGCATGATGTATAACTATAATATTGCATGATGTATAACTATATATTGCATGATGCATAACTATATATTGCATGATGTATAACTATATATTGCATGATGTATAACTATATATTACATGATGTATAACTATATATTGCATGATGTATAACTATAATATTGCATGATGTATAACTATATATTACATGATGTATAACTATATATTGCATGATGTATAACTATATATTACATGATGTATAACTATATATTGCATGATGTATAACTATATATTGCATGTATGACTACATAAATTGTCATGCAGTACAATTGTTATCTATATAAGGTTGACTAGGGAAACATTTTCACATTAATTTACTAGTTTCTAGCTGTTTACCAGATTAAAAAAATATGAAAAAAAGCAAATTGATTTATTTTATATGTCTGGGATATCATAGATATCAAGTTAAGTGAAGTAACCATGCAAACCATCAGAATATTATTGAGAGCAAACACACTCTGAACTAGAGCTCCTCTGTACTCAGGAAAAGTATTGAGGTCTCTCTGTACTTAGGAAATATACTGAGGGCTCTCTGTACTTAGGAAATATACTGAGGGCTCTCTGTACTTAGGAAATATACTGAGGGCTCTCTGTACTTAGGAAATACATGTATAATGAGGGCTCTCTGTACTTAGGAAATATAATGAGGGCTCTCTGTACTTAGGAAATATAATGAGGGCTCTCTGTACTTAAGAAATATACTGAGAGCTCTCTGTACTTAGGAAATTTAATGAGGGCTCTCTGTACTTAGGAAATTTAATGAAGGCTCTCTGTACTTAGGAAATATAATTAGGGCTTTCTGTACTCAAGAAATTTATAGAGGGTTCTCTGTACCCAGGAAATATATAGAGGTCCCTCTGTACTTAGGAAATATATAGAGGGCTCTCTGTACTTAGGAAATATACTGAGGGCTCTCTGTACTTAGGAAATATAATGAAGGCTCTCTGTACTCAAAAAATTTATAGAGGGCTCTCTGTACTCAGGAAATATCATGAGGGTTCTCTGTACTCAAGAAATATATGAGGGTTCTCTGTACTCAGGAAATATCCTGAGGGCTCTCTGTACTCAAGAAATATATGAGGGTTCTCTGTACTCAGGAAATATCCTGAGGGTTCTCTGTTCTCAGGAAATATCCTGAGGGCTCTCTGTACTCAAGAAATATATGAGGGTTCTCTTTTCTCAGGAAATATCCTGAGGGCTCTCTGTACTCAAGAAATATATGAGGGTTCTCTGCACTCAGGAAATATCCTGAGGGCTCTCTGTACTCAAGAAATATATAGAGGGTTCTCTGTTCAGGATATATATAACATATTGTGTTCTTTAACATATACACCCCTAAATTTGTATCATGAACATTTTTTTGATGTCAATTGTTTTACTTGAAGGATTTTTAACATTAACAAGAGCTGGTGTGGTGAGACTGCTTGCCTAGCTCTACTTACTTCTAGGATAAGGCATGCTAGCAGGAGAGAAATTAAGTTGTATCAATAACATCATTGTTATATTCAACTCTTTATACACATTAATTTGCAGTAACAATAGCTACATTTTCCTGTGTGACGGTTTCTGCCAGTTTGATGACATTGTCCAGCAGTAAATGTGAACACATTGTAATCACTGGCGTGTCTTCTAATAACATACCAGAATACTGTCACAATAAGCGGGGAACGTGTCCAATTTGCATGTCTATGAGGGGATAAATGAGCATTTGCAATCAATGTGCCAGATTTACAAACTTTTTTTCCCCTCCTCATGAAGCATTGAATACTTTTTTTTCTTTTTTTTTCTAAGGTCGATACCATGGTGATTCAGTGATCAATCAAGGTCCCTGCCTAAATTGTCTTATAGGCTGAACAGTATTAGAGCATCTTGGTGACCTTTTTGACCTCCAGCAAACAATATTCCATATCAGCTGAAGAAAAGCAAGAGAGATAATATTATTGGATTAGTGATAATGAGAGGAAGTGAATTTAGCTGCGGGTACTCACAAACATTCACTATTTATGGCATCTTGATGACTTTCTCCTTTTTTTTCGAAAGGTTACATCTCTCTCCGAGACATGTATTGTTAAAAAAGAATTATTTTATTGATTC